TTCTGCTTCCTCTTCCTCTCTATTCAAACAGATTTTGAAAGCTTCGGGAATGCATTTCTCGTGTTATTTGCTCAGGGATATATTCGCCGATTCCACTCTCCGGTTTTCGCTCTCCCCCTCGGTCTCGAAAAAAAAAAAACTGGAATGGAAACGTTTACCATGAGAAATTTCCTTTAGAAAGTCCTCGTACCTTGGTTGCACGTGTGAAAAGGTGCAACGTCAGCCAAGGTGCATCGTCGGCTGAGATGGATCGTCGGACAAGATAGCGTCTAAGACCGGATGTATTCATCAATTCTCGTCCGAAAATTTGGAAAAGAAAGGGAGTGATGCCAAATCTCGACAATCATCTTCGCCTTCGGGCTATTCACACGTCTAAAAAAAAAAAAGCTTAATAGTCGAAATCGCATGTTAATGATTGGGTTTAAATCATGAAATCATGCACATTATTCAAATTAATGATTTAAATCATGATAGTAGGTTTTCCTGCTTTTCCAACTAATTAAAAGGTTCAGGTGGCATATCTGACAACCTCCATGTTTAACATAAGTTTTCCCAAGATTTAAATGAAAAATAATGATATCCGAAACAGTGAAAAAAATAATTTATCATTCTTATCTAAGAAACAATTAATATGATATGACGACACAAGATCCAAGTAAAATCTTAGAATGGAATTTGAAACCATATTAGAATCATATCAAATCACGACTTAAATTGCTTAAAAATCGCATCTTGAAGAAAAAAGAAATGATTTGATTTCGGAATTGGAACCTCCTGGGAAGCCCCCCCACCCCCACCTTCACTTCGAGAAGTTTACGGATATAGTGCGGGCGTGGCGAATTCGGAATTCTTTCATTCTCTCTCCCCTACATCCCCTATCCCCCCCTACGCCCCCCCCTTACCCCCCGTCCCCGCCAACCTTCCCATATGCCCCCAGCTGAGATATATCAGCCTTGAAGGACCTGTGGAAAGAGAATTGATCTGGCTGAAGAAAAGAGGAGTTCGGTCCATATATATACCTCCATGGTCTTGCTTTATAAATCCATTAATGTGCATTGCACACTCGATCTAGGAACGCAACAAACGACGAAGCAAGGAAGCAAATCTGTCGTTCGAGGAGAGAGGCGAACTAGAAGAGAATAGATGACAGGGACGACCTTGGACCTTGCGTCTCTCTGCATGCATGCAAAATCCAGCCTCTCTCGCGGACGAACGGCACTCGACGGATGCATTCCACGGGGAGTCTCCGCATTCCTGCCTCGACGGAGTCCCACACGCGTGTGACGCGGGGGTTCGATCGACCGTCTCGTGAATCATTGCAAGGAATACGACTATTCTCGCCCCGCTAAGCGTGCATGTGTACGTGGAGTCGGTCATAAACAAGGAGAGAGAGGAGAGATGGGATTCCCACCCTCTGGGTGATTTCGGCCCTGTAATTGGATTCTCTTTTGAACTTCGCCGCCATGCTGTCTGGTCTCGAAAAGAAAATATGCCTTTTTTCTTTTACCTCTCTCTGTCTCTCTCATTATCCTAGCGAGGCATTATTCCGAGACGGGGCTCCTCTTTGTCTAGTACGTTTACCGCGCGCCTTTTGTTAATTAAACAAACATTTGGACCTCGATGGGGGAAGAAAAAAAAGCGAGGTATTGTGCGACTCCGTCTCCATTTAACGCCCTTGCATTCACGGATTTCCTTCGCCCTTTCTCCTACAAACGGCATATTCCGCTCTCTTCATTTTCTCATTCCATTCACTTCCCTTTCTCGGACTCATTTTTCACTCGGAATCGAGTGATTAGGGCCACCCTCGTTCGAGTGCCCTGCGTCAAATCCCGTTCGATTTTCGACTTTCATTTTTCATGATCAGCAGTTTCATTGCATTTCATATCTAAAATTAAATACTACTTTAGAAGAAAAATCCTTACCTAAAATTCATATCAAGAGAAGTGCAACAAAGCCGGAAATTCGACGAATCAAGGATCTACAAATATGCTATTTATTGAAAGAGTTTATGAAAATGAGTAATTCATACTATTGCATGGAGAAGATTAATCGTAATTTATTCAGCGAAGGAAGTATTCATATGCTTTTATTTAAAAAAAAATTGTAAATGTGAATTGTAAATGTAAATGTGAAACATACACGGCCAGTCCTCAAAGCAGTAGTTCGAGAATGTGCTGGATGTTTGGGAGAGGGCGTTGGATCGAAAATCGCCTCCTCATCTCAACATATAACGTGTAATTGAGCTTAGAGGAGGTTTAGAGGGGGTTTAGAGGGGGGCACCCTTTGGAGTGCGGGGTGGATACAGTGGACGGAAAAATAATGGAGAAGAGAGAAGGGGAAGGGGGGGGGGGAGGATGGGGGCTCTGCCCATGCACTACACAAGTCCCCCCGGGCCAGGACTTCGCCTTAAATTGCTATAACAAATGTTTGCTTACAGGGTCTTCACACCTCGAGGTGCGATGGAATCCATCGGGAGGCCTTGTAATAAGAAGCGCGCTGGGGGCTCTCGCCCAAGGGCGGACCTAGCCCTCGTCCCTCGTCTACCGACACTCTTCCTGTTCCCAGAAATACAGTGTAAGAGCAATTCCTACTTGCAAAGCAAGCGTGAAACACTGGAAAACTCGAGTGTTGCAAGATATGTTTTAGATTGGTTTGATTAAACATGAGATGTTTCCACCTCTCGTCCACAACGATATTAAATCACAAGACAAGAGAAATTGTCTTCGCTATCAATTCTCTTGAAGAAATTTCACCACCTAAGCTCTAACAGACAAAATTTCGGCATAGTTATTTCTCTAGTTTTATTACATGGCGGTGGATATAATTGATTTCAGCGGCAGTTGTCAAGGTGTATGGTATCATGTAGCGTACCATTTAGCTGAGTCATGTCGATCATCCGAGCTATTATAATACGGTGACTGGTTCGTGCCATTTGCCCCCCCCCTCCCCCCTCCATCAATGCCGAGCTGAGATAGCTGCTTCGGATGATGCCTCATCCTATCCCGAAGGGCTCAAGGTCAAATGCCTTCAGTGGTTGGCTTGAGTCTGGTGAGTCTCCCGATCTTCAATGGGGTTCTTTCTCACTTTGTCACGTGCATTACACGAAAGTGGGGCATGTTACTTAATTGCTCCTCGGACTAGAACGGTCTGCTTTCTTCATCAACTCGAGCAATTATCGTATTCGGATTACTCGACAGACACGGTTGAGATAAATTGCAGGCGGCATGATGGTTCGACAAAGTGCCTCGCATCGCTTCCCCGCTGTCCCTCGTCGGCCTTCATTTATAATGGGGGTACTTGTTGTCCGAGACAAAGTGGATTCCAGGTCCGCCCTTGGGAATCCCCGTGTCGGCAAGGCAAAAGACTCGGGGAGGGGCCCAAGCGCAGGTGTATAGCCTTAAAACCTCCAACTCTCTCCGTCTCTCTCTCTCTTCTCACTCTTGGGATGATTACAAGTGAGGAGGAGAAGAGCCTCGAGGGGAGAAAAAAAAAAGAGGGCAACAAAGCCCATCCACCTTCTCGTGTTTGCAAACCGATTGATGTTGTAAAGATATAAACAAGATTTGCCCTTTATGACTTCCCTTCGGTTGTAAACACACAACTCTTTTTTCTATTGAGAGAACACGACAACATTCCGGAGAAGAATTTCCCGGTTTTATGACACATCCCTCCCCATTGAAACGTGATCTCTTTATTGCACCTGTGCAGCTGCCCCAAAGTCGTTGTAAACAAATTTGTCCTGGACGGAAGTCGGGGAGGAGGGGAGAAAGAAATGAGCGTCAAAATGCAAACAAAACCGCAATCACGGCTTATTACGTATATGACGTTCGACGGCGATCCATCACACGCAAGTGGGCATTACAGGAATGACACGCGGGAGCCGTATTTGTTTATACACAGGTCGAAGAAGAATATAATGACAGGGGCTCGGTGGAGTGAGAGAAAATTACAGGGCACGCGGCAAAAAGGAATCTTTCACGTGTCACTCTCCTTCTTTTCAACCTCATATTAATCACCGTAAAGGCATCACGTAGGGACCTGTAGGGTTATTCTTTCACACCCTCTGATTGTCAATACCGCTAGAACGTCAGTTCAATGAGAACAACGGTATCATCGCCATGTGTTCATTCTGATGTTAAACTGAACCTAAGAATAGTGTTTTCCGTGCCATCACAAGCGATCGTGTCTCTTTGGATCGAACGTGCCGCGAATGCTGTTGTAGTTAACTTACTTTAATGGAGGATCTTTGGAGGTACTGACATCACGATGACATGCCATACATTCATTATAGATGCATCACAGTCTTGTCGTACCTTCTTCACCATGTGCAAGCCCCATCAGTAGGAAATCCGATTATGATTATTATCAATTTCAGCACACAATATTCCTGAACCCATTACTGGATATGGTCAGGTGTATTTATGTCGGATTGGATGTGCCTTCCCAAGCGTTAAGGTCCCCCAATTTTGCGAAAATGTTGTCGAAATTGTGGAATCCTAGGCAAACTTGTTGTCGGCCCCATGGTAGTGGCTCGAGGAATGTTGGCAGGGCGCTTATTCTGCAGTTGTGATACCTGCGTCGAAGTCTCCCGTATCAACAGCAGAGATGATTAGCTGTCTGGAATGATGAAGAGGGACCGCTGACAGTGCCTGTGCTGAATTTTTCATCTTCACAGTTTACATATGGAGAGAGGGGGGCCCGGATCTATGAAGCCCTAATATAAATCGAAGCTGTTGACTCAGCACCCTCGGCTTATGGAATGGAAACCGGTTGGAAGTGTGAATAATGACCGAAGGCCAGGGTATTCCATTAACCTCGGTGTCAGCCGAAGAGGAGGCAAGAAAAACAACCTTGGCTCAGGTGCAAATTAAATGCGGGACGCACACACTCTCCATAAAGATGAAATGAATGAGCTTTTTTTCACTCTCAGAAAATACAGTACTTTAATCGGAATGAGCACGAATTTATCACAGCATTTGAGGTACCAATTATTGGATTTAACGAACCATATAAGGTTTACTACAATGCTGAAAACAAGAGAATCGATTGCTGCACAAGGTGGGATTCCAGGGAAGATAGATGGGGCGGGGTCTCACGACTTCCGGAGGCATCCATGCTTGAAGAGGAGACCACGTGTACTGAATCGGATACGGCTCCACGACTGGCTCTGGAGGCTTATCTGGAGCCAAGAGGGTCTCGATGTCGAAGCTCCTCTTGGGCTTATTATTTGTGGCTTCCGGAGGCTCAGGTTTACCAGAGGAAGGGGAAATGGGTGGAGGGTGGGAGACCCGGTTGAGACTGGACTGGAGGGCTTCCTTCTCTTCCTTGCGAAGCTTGAAGCGCTTGCGGCGGCGGAGGAAGGATCCATTGTCGAACATATCCGCACAGGAGGGATGCAACGCCCAGTATGCTCCTTTCCCCGGTCGGTCCGGTCTCCGCGGGATCTTGATGAAGCAGTCGTTGAAACTCAGGTTGTGTCTCAGCGAGTTTTGCCACCTGCAAACGACCAACAGATTAAATAAAGTTAGCGTTGCAATTAGTGTCTGCTATGTGCGTGTTCGAAGGTCATGGAGGACTGTAATCGTCGTTTATTCTTTAGGCCCGACATGATCTACTTTGTTCCAAGTCTAGGATAGGGCTATTTCAATACACTGCAGCTGCATCATGCAATTACAAGTTACGCCAGCATAAAGTTTTTGACTCCATTAATAACTTGAAAACAATTTTTATTGACCGGCCAACTACAAGCCAGGTTTTGAAATGTCCACACGCCCGTTTGTTCCTTCAAAGGAATAGTGGGACGTATCAAGTAAACAATATTTCCAGTCTCCCGAGATGTGCATTGCCATCTCGTCGCATGACCTGTGTGCATACTTTTTGAGGTGGTACAGCTCAACTCCCATTATGGAATGGATCGCAGGCTAAGTAGTTTGATATTGGAAAAGATTCCTTTTTATTTTACATCAGCCAAACCCGAAGATTCTCTTTCCGAGTTCGATTCTCTCGACTGGTTCCTTCTGCAAACGACAACGTTCTCTTTCGCAAGACAAAATTGCGTGCATTGTACACATTTCGTAGTACACGTTTCGTAGACTCATTAGTTTCAGTCTATTGCACGTCCATTTATAGCGTTATAATTACTATGTTTTGCCGTCCTCTCAAGCGGTGAATTTTAAGGCAGGATTTCAGCCTTGCGTTTATATCGATTGGAATCAGGTTCTCATGAATGAGTGAGTATATGTATGCTTCCTCAATTCAAAAGGAAATCATTAATTTTTTTTTTCCCTTTTAGACTGAGACCAACAACACACTCGTTGTTAGTCTTAGTATGGCGCTGCTATGTACTGCCGAACCGCTATGTACATAACACTATGGCGCTGCTTATTATCGGTTTACATCGAATTTCTCCTTTTATTCATTCATTATTAGTAAGCAATTCCTGGAAATTTGAATTTGAACCACAAAGGCATACAGTTGAACATGTATTATAATATGGACGGTTTATAGGACTTCTTAATGCGAAGAGACTAAAGACTAGATTCGACCTGGAAGAAACCCAATTTTTTAATTATGGATTCCAATTAAGTAATTCACTGGCATTTTGCACGAAAAAATAGTGCTTATCGAGCACTCTAATAGGCGACACTAAGTTCAAGAGAAGGATGTTTTGTGCTTGAGGAATGCAAGTAATATATATATTAGTGGATAGTCGAATTCATATGCTTCCAATCACATAAACATAAACACACCAACAAAGGTTTGGTGTGCAATAAAGGCATGTATTTAGGAAAACTTTATTTTTTGGGCCTCCAGTGTATTAGTTCGTTTGGCGAATAGTGAGGTACGCATATACAACTAAAGCCCAATCCAATTACCTGTGGGACTTAGGCAAGGCACAAAAAGTTTTTGCAAAATTTACGGAGGCTCTTGAGGGAATTTTTCAGCTATTTACCGGTACCCTTCAAAAATACCAAGTCTAATCGTACAAGTTGACGGTATTGGAATACGTGGTTCTTCCATACCCACTCCGATCGTTCAAACTCATTAAGATCGAAAATAAATTGCTAATATTGCAGTCATTGAGTCCCAGATCCCTCTTTATCCACTGGTGAACCTACAAAACTATTCCTTAAAGTGAATGATAATGATATTGGCACTATCTAATGCGTGAAAACGATGTTCATTATCTCCCATGAACTGGAAAGTAAGATAAGTAAGACCTATTGTCTTCAAAAAGTCTTTCAACGTCGATGGAGTCATTAAGCCCGCAGAACCACGACACAAAGACACGTCCGATTACTGTTGATAGTTTATATCGCTCTGTATGCAGTTGTTATTGCCTTGCAACGCCACACACTGTTTCTAAGCGATGGATGATCGATGAGAAAGATGAAAGCAATCTCACCTCTGAGTAACAGCAACCGTTAAATGTGAAAGTTGACATTAAGCGTCTGTGATTAATAGTTGGAATGGATGCAGTCGGATCGGATGAATTTCATCACTTCTCGGCCCTTTTTGCAGACTGACGAGCTGGATGAAGGTACTCTAATCCGCTTCCCATCACCCCATGAACATTACCCGAGATTTTCGCAGTTCTTCAACGGATGAGAGTTTGAGGGGGTATACGAGCTCTCTGCCTTCTTTGACTCGGAACCCAGCCGACATTCCTCGCTTGGTCGGATACATTTTTATTGGATCAATTCAGTCCAGAAGCATACTGATTTCAGGTCAAAGTTCTCGGATACCCCTAAACAAAGGGGCCCAGTAAGCCACGGAGATGAGGGCGGCTAGCTTTTGGGATAATAAATTCCAGGTTTTTCTTCGTGTTCACCAATCACCCTTTCCCGTATGTTTCTAGGAATAACCACGGTTGACAAGGTGGCCATATCGCATTGAACTAAGGCCGCTTATTTCACCGTAACCATGAAACGACCTTTAGGAACCCTTTGACGCTTTAATGTTATTTACTTTCTGAGTTCTCTGTGTGGGATGCCAATATCACAAATCTTTAGCTAAATACGGCCACCCTGGAACTTCTCAGAAGTTAGTGCGGCATCCAGGCGGAAGGTCGAGCTTGACCTACTCTCATCAAATCTGTCGAGGGAATTGTAGATCTGTGAACTTAGACCAGGAAAAACGGATTTCCGATGCCCTGAATCCTCGTATTCCCTACTAAAATACAGTACCATGAAGCATTTTTTCATCTCAATGTTTAGTTGCTTTTCAAACTGTCATGAAATACATATAGTCAAAGCTTTCACGCATTAAAAAGAGTAAACATTTTATTATATCACAGCTCTAAACCAAGTTGAAATCAGTGCAGTAAATTTTGCTCGTAGTTGGTGTCTTGGATTTTAATTAAAACTTTGAACTTTCAGTACTAGATCAAGACTTAGGATCCGGAAAAAGCACTCCACCACAGATGTATGGGGCCTGCGGCCTCACTTTTGTCATAATTGGTCCCATACTTCTTGCTCTACTTTGGTGTGGATGTTCGGTGACTGGAATTAGATCCCAATACCCTACAATCAGATCTCAGACAGTACTCGACAGATGACACTTAATGAACTTGGAGATCTTTACGAATGGCAGGAGTACACAGGTTTAAACTCGTACGATCGGCAGGAACATGGGGATTTTGTATCGAACAAGGACATTCTGCATTTCGCGCGAATCATGAGGCAAGATAATGCCTTGCATATATGAAATGAACTGGGCTCACTTTTGCGTGTCCTTGCGATAGTAGGGGAAGTTGTCCATGATGAACTTGTAGATGTCGGACAGAGGGAGCATCTTCTCCGGAGAGGACTGGATGGCCATGAAGGTCAAAGAGATGTAGGAATAAGGCGGCTTCTGGTCACCGTAACTGTTCCGGCTCGGCCGAGGCATGGTGCAAGCTTCAGGTCGGTAAAACAAAGGAGGAACGTGTGCGATGTGCTCTATCATGCATGCACTGATCAACTGCCACGACCTGTGACCAAGGTGTGAAACTTCTCCCCTTGGACAAACACAAGAGGGAGGAATAAAGAGAAGTGGGCGGTATTTAGGTCCCGCTCTGCTCTCTGATTGGTCGGTCGGTCATCCACGAGTGCCTCGTCATTGGATCGGCTTCCCTTTTGTTTTTTTTCTCTCTCCCCCTCCTTCCCCATACCCTGATTGCCTCATTGTTTTTTTCCTCCCCCCCGTTCGCATTTTTCCGGTAGATATATACGTATTGTGTTATGCGTGTGCCGATTATTGGTCGATGGTCGGAAATACGATTTTCGGGTTTCGCCCTTCCTCCATTTCCCTCCCCTTTTCTAGGCCACCTGCCGCGTTGGATTCCTTCTCTGACGATTCTCTGTCCTGCCTTCAAGCAATTTACCTTCTGACGTAGTTTTCCTTTAGAAAAGAAAATAACCATGAGAACCACATGCTGAATTTTACTTGGTTCTTGCATGCATGGTTTGTATGCCAACCGCATCAGACCGTGCTTCCTCAGACATGGATTCACATGTTAGTAGTTCAGATGCTAGACCTGTCCAGATGCTACTTCAATTCAGATACTAGACCTAGAATACTAGACCTAGACCAAAACTAAAACTATATTAACAAGGAAGTAAAAAAAAAAAGCAAACTTACTATATAGGATGGGTCAACAAAATAACTGGACAGTTTCCAAATATACACTTTACTGTACTCACTGCATATATTTTAATGTTGCTTCATGCATTCTAAAGAGGAACGAATACGCTTTAAAATGGTGTACTGGCATTTCAACTATCTTGAACAGTTTTATAAATTCGGGAGCTCATATGAAGAAGAAAGCAAAACCGGTGTTGCCTCGCACTCGGATTTGGACGGCATGTCACATTCAGCCGCCAGCTTTCAGCTTCACGCAGTTTTTGATTGCTCTTCGTATCAGCTTCTGAATTCCAGAAACTGTTAGAGATATTTGAAATGTGAATAGTCCATTTTAAAACGTGCTCATTCCTCTTTCAAACGCCAACAACATTGAAATGCATGCCGTGAGTGCAGTATAATGTATCTTGGAAAACTGCCAGTTTTTTTTTTTGGCCCACCTTATAGATGATCAAAGTTTCGAAATAAAATGAATAAAAATAAAAGGAACAAAAATCAGCGCTAGTTTCTGGCTGCCTTCAAAGCATGAACGTTTTTTTTTCATATTCTTTTTTCTTCTTTTTCTATTTTGGGACAATATTATTATTATTATTATATCAGGGACAATATTCCATGGCTAATATACTGGATTTCATATTTATTACATGGCATCTCACCACTTCTATCATACCACAGTTCCTTTCAAAGTTTTCTCGTCTCACTCGACATGGTATGATGATATTCTCTTTAACAGATTCTCAACCGGCGGGTCGCGAAAGGTTCAAAGCAACAAAAAACGAAATGGTAATAAATTGGAGGAAGATCGCCAGAGATAACATTTTAAGTGGGAAACCGAAGTCCTGTATTAGATAAGAGTACATGAACGTGCATCTCCTTTTCAGACCGCCCTCAGAATCCAGATTATAAACCGACACAGGAAGGCAAGAAGGGAGACAGATTGCGAGCAAATGATCTCGGGAAATGGGAAACAAAAAAAGGAATGGCTCGGAAACTGCGTCCGAAACTATTCTTGTGACATCAGCGCTAGAATCGCACAATTATTTTCCCCCATCTTGCCAAACGGAAACCAGAAGTGAACGAATGTAATGCCTGTAACTTCGATACCTAACACGGCTTCCGGCTCCAAAGCGTGAAGCCAAGGGGGAATCGGGGATGGAAACCTTGCAAAAGCCAAGAAGGAATCGGGGATGGAAATCTTGCGAAAGCCATTGCGAAACGGAGTCGCCAGACTCGGCTGTCGCCTCGGTGGATGGACCAGCCGTTGAGAATGTCCGTCAAATTTACCTTCAATGTTTATATCGAATGCGTTTACGAATCACTTTATCGGGATTCCATATTTAAATTAAAACAATTCCTTTCACACTTCCTCCGGTTGACTTCAACACTATCTACCCTAAACTTTCAAGTTTTGATCAGCTGTACGACACCCATTGGTTTTTTTTTGTGTCGGCGCGGCGAAGCGGGGAATAATTTTTTTTTCTAAGCAGAAATATTTGCAGAAGGCAGACAGAAGTTGTTTAATTTATTCATGTATTTCTGTGCTTCTTCTAGGGCGCATTTTCATATTTGTTCACCGACTTATTTGTTCTCGAGCGACTCAATCGGAATACCCATACCGGAGTGACTCATCGGAATACCATTTAAAATGACACTTTACCACTTAGAAAAACCTTTTACTTCGGCACTCAGCTACTGGTTCCATATTACGATGAACACTCCGACAATTTACTTTTTATATTTACTGCGCAAACTTTTATATTTCTCAAGCTGGTAGCTTCTAACGTTCACCGTCCATACAATAATATTATGAACGTTCGCATCAGCCCGGCGAGTCGCCGCCTTTGTATGCCAATGGGTTAATCGTGACCAATCCTCAAGTTATGGGAATGGAAAAATATGGAAATCGGACTCGATGGGTCCTGGTATAAAAAAGGTTGACAACTCCATTGCAAACCATTTTCGGGGGACAAGCACGCGGCTTGCACCTTCGAAATATAGTTTAATTCCGAACAAAAAGAAAATTATTATTCGCCAGATTTGAAAAAGTTGGCAAAGGCGTGTTCTCAGAAGCCACGCTAATGAGCGAATGAAATCCTATGAACGAAAGAATCGCATTCGGAAATGTTTCTATCTTGCTCGTTTCGCCGCCAGCAGAGTCCCACAGACGATCAAAATACGATTTCCTATTTTAAATTGCATGCCCTTTCGCAACGCCCTTTCTCGTGGTGTCGCCGTTCATCGAGCGAGACGAACAGGTATCGACGAAATTTTCAAGCACCCTGCAATTAAATAATTAAGGACCGTTCCCATCGAAGAAACGGAATACGATCGGAAAGATCCATTTATGGGAGGACGATGAAAAATTCTCTTTCTCCTCACGAAAACGACCCTTCCAAATTTTTCACCTTCCAAACGTAACTATTTATTTTCGGGCCAGTCACGCAGAAAGGAACGAGAGAGCCGCGATGATCAAGGCCTTCATGACAGGAAAGGTCATAATTCCCCAGGGAATCACCCCAGCCGTTCGAAACAATCTGGTATCTCTAATTGATGAGCCTCATTAAAGGCGGCCCCCCAATCTCTCTCCTTCTCGCCAGATGAAAGGAAATAAAACGTGACAAATGTTGTCATAAGTCGTCAACAATAAGAAAAGAGACGGAGGTATATAAGAAAAGAAAAGAAATGCACTTATCGTACATTAAAGCGAAGGCCCTGCCGGGCACGGAATCGAATTGAAATTATTGTGATTTCTCGAATCATGCTGTTTGATGAATATCCATGACCCGGGGGAGAAGGGACCACCTGGATTAAACCCGGTTGGAGCTCCTACCATGAACGATGAGCTGTGGAAATTCACACTTATTCATCCGGATCTCATTTTATCGGCCACCCATGGGCTCTCGACTCTGGAGGCTCCGAGAGTTTCGGGAAATCCGACGATTCCTCCGGTCTCGCCCCCGTTTCGCGGACGGAAGCCGTCGGGTCGGTCGAGCGAGAGGCGTCGTGCCGGTGCGAGAGGCGTCGATGTCATGAGGTCGGGGGGTTCCGAGCGGATGTCGGCCGGAATTGAAATCGGTCTCACGCGACGCGAGCGGCCGTCCCTCGCCGTCTGCGGTGAGGATCCGCCCATACGCGGATTCGTGCTGCCTCGGTTGGAGCATTCGGCGGGAATGGAAGGGGCACGGGGCACTGCATGTGTGGGACGCTGCATGCATGGGGCACTGGTTAAATGAGAACGGTTAAATCTAGCATAGAATATGACTCCGTCTCGTCGACCTACATAAAACTGTTGGCGGTTGAAGCTCTTCGAAAGATGCGGGAGAAGTACCAGTTAACTGATATATTTGTAGTTTACACACCTGTGACTATGTCGGCACCAATTGGTTCTTGAGGGTGACAACAGGTGCCAATCGGCATCCGGTGTGCCGAGGTGCAAGCAAGGCGACGATGACTTGCAGTTGTCACGCACGACAAGATGACGATCGGCACCCTCTCATGAATAATATCGAGCTCGATCGTCGAGTGTATGTTAAGGACCTATTCTTAGAGTTTGAATTATGCTCATGAGATGGCGCTCCATCGGTCATTCGCAACCATGGCGTGCTTGCTGCGAATGTGTCTCGTGCACACTTTATGTGTCTCTTTCGCAGTGCCGCTTATCTTCTCACAATAAGGCATCTCATTGTAAGGCATGATGGTTCTAGGGGGAAATCTTAGGGAAAGTAGGCAGGGGTCTCAGAAAAAACGTTTTTGCAGAGGATTTTCCGATCGACGAGCAGATGTTGACAGAGAGCCAATCGGAGCGATGGGAGATGGAAAGACCACGACCACGAGGACAACGTACGATGGGCATCGATTCAGGATCGAGAAGAGATACGGTTCCTCTGAGACGGGGTGCTCATCGGCATCCGAAAGGGTATGGTGTCATCGATACCTAATGCCAATCGGTGAATCAATCGGTTGCCGATCGGCACTCTGTCAGACGAAGCACCGATCGGTACGAGGACGGATCGAAAAGTGAGGTGATAGTGGCTCTACTTACCATATGCATAACCAGATGGGTATAGCCATTAAGTTTTTGTCGCTATTAATTTTTCACACATGAACCATGGAGACAACGAGGCACTTTCCCCGACGGGCCACGAACTTGTCTATGCAGTTTGCACGAAAATCGAGCAGTCGATCTTAAAGAGCGCATTCCAATTCTTCATCTGTGCGGAATTGTTTACCACTGCGGTGTTTTTCTCAGGGGTTCTTTGTCACGGAAGCTCAATTCCCGTGTAAGAGCCACAACCAGTTTACACTGCAGTTCAAATTAGGGTAAATGTATCCATTTACACCTTCCTTTTC